ATTGTAAATACATTTATTTAAAAATAAAAAAAGTTTATTGTTATAGTCAAAATATTATATACGTATTACTTTAAACAGTTTTATGTTGATCAGTTTCTTAAGCATTATCTCTGCAGAAAACATTGTGATCGTTCTAATTTGAATTTTTGTGCTAAAAATATAGTAAAATCGTCTGGTTTAGTAAAGAAGCGATGAGATATCGATTTATAGGTTCTACCGGCGTACGCAGGAAAACTCCTTTTTTTCTATTCGGGTATACTTTATTGTAGTAACACAGAACAATAGTAGTGAATATAGTTACTTAATAGTAACAGCAGTAACACCGCGAACAAACTGGTCGGCAAAAATAATAGTGCGTCAAGAGTTTATTGAATATTGAACTATTGACACCTGTAACTTGCTCTGATTTATCTATGCGTCCTACGTGACCGAGACCGACGATTCTGGGAGCAAAGAGCCCCGCTCACCTACAATCCCATCCTGTATTGCGCAGACGTRCACAGGCATACAGCCATTACAATTTGAGCTACATAATATTATGATTAATAGCAGGAGTGGTGCGCATTTTAATGGCAGGTGAAAAATTAAAATTGTAAACAATTATTATATTCATAAAATGTTGTTTGTAAAAAAATTTTAAAAAAATTTATAAACATTTAAAAAATTATAATATTTCTATGAAAAAGTTGATTATGTTTCTATATTATTACTATATTTATTATTTATTGTGATCTATTGAGTGTTTACTAACTTAAAAAAAAATTCGACACTAGACCCAAACAAAGTTCGCTAACCCTGATCTATAGCAATGAAACGGACAGCCTGCCGTGCAGTTCAACATACAAACGTTAACGATAGCACAGCCATGAATCTTATTAGGTATTACAACTGTTAYGAGTATAGGTAWACCTGATTGTTCGTTGGCGAAAGTGCGCAGTGCCGGTAGTCGATGCTTGGTAAGCACTTGTCATAGATCAGAAAAAAGTTCATCAACAGCGGGGTCTAGATGACCAATGGCGATTATAGAAATTAATTGTAGGGGCCAGGGGGGATACAACAATTTAATATTTCAGCTCTCCCTCTTAAATTCTAATCATTTACGCCCGTACAAACCTTACATTTCGTAGGGGATATGACCCGCCCCCCTAAATACGCCACTGGGCACATGTAAACTCCCCTAAAATATTTTGCTACCGTATTACGTATACGTAAATTCCCCTAAAAACATATATATAAGATTCTAACTCTCAGCGGTTCTCAATCGGTGTGCTTCGAATGCTCTTAAAGTGTGCTTATCCTATAAAAATGACTAACCTATAATTAACATAAAATTACAAAGTATACATATACCAAAT